ATTAATGCTACAAAGACACAAAACAGGCACTAGGGAGTCATGCCTATAATCAAATTTTAAAAAAAGATTAGGGACAGGATGAAATGAAAGGCCAGGCATATTTGATTCTCTCTGTTAGTTAGGAGAATTACATGTTGCACAATGAAAGAACCCAGTAACACACACACACAAAAAGGGAATAATTACAGTTATTTTGGAACAATGAGAAATCTGGGAAGATAGATCTAATTTTTTTTTTCCCTCCATTTTAAGCACAAAGTCCGGTTGTTTTCAGTCTAGGTTAACTTCAAACATTTATTTTCCAGGCCTAAGAAGCTTTCTGACTGGGAACAAAGTGAAAAAAAAAAAAAAAAATTATTTGTAAGCCATTTCTGTTTGAGAAATAACTATTACAAGCAGTCAGGCTAGCGCATGAAGTTAATCTGAAACAAGGTTGAAGGTTTCGTATTTTCCTTCTTTCCCAGGAACAGCAGTTTCCCACTTCCACCCCGCTGCAGACCGCAGCTGTAAGGTTCCCCCTCGGCACACGGGGCTGGTCCTGTCTCGGCACCGATTTCCCTGGACAGACACACACCGGGAGGGTAAAACGTCCTGGGAATGACGGCTGGGAGATCAAACCCCTGTGCTGCTCCAGGCCCTGTAAATAACCTCGCGGGGCAGGCAGCAGCGACGCTGGAGCCATGTGCATACGCGGCGGCGGGGGGCCCGTGGGGCACGGGCTGCTCCCGGCAGGTGCTCTGGCAGCGTCGGGAGGGATGGAGCAGCCCCAGCAAGCACCCACGCGCGTACCCTCTGCTCGCTTGTCCCCGCTGGCCACCCAGTCAAGTGGGTTTGGTCTTTGAAATATTTTTTAGGCGCAGGAGAAGGTGAGTACAAAGAGCAGGTGAAACACCAGCGCGTTGACCTGTTGGTGAGGGGAGATAACGGGCCTGGCGGACGCTTCAGATCCTCTTCAAAAACACAGCATTTGTTGAGGTACCACCCAAAATGCAGGGCTTTCCCCTCTCCGCTCGGCTCTAACCACCAGGAGATACTGTTTCCCTCCCTCCTTCTGGTCGGGTGAATGTTTCTTGCACTAAAAGCTGGAGCAGCTAAGACAAGAACAGGTAAGATTCCCAGCCGCAGCACGGCCCCCGCGAAGGCGGTTGGAGCAGCAGCGGGGCCGGGACGGTGCGGCTGCTCTGAGGAGCTCCTCCGAGTTCCTCCCTCTCTGGGCACGGAGGATCCGGCAGCGCCCAGCCGGGGCACACCGAGGCACCGGCACGGACACACCGAGGCACCGGCACGGACACACCGAGGCACCGGCCTGGCTCCCCCCTTCCCGCGCTGCGGTCCCGGGCAGAGGAGGGCTGGAGACGGGCTGGGCTGCAGATGGTGGGGAGTCACCGCCACCTCCCTCCTTCGGGGTCTTCTGCAAAGAGGGTTTGGCAGATCCTCCTTCACCCTCTTGCAATGGGCTGCTGCGGGCACTCATCACACTTAGTGTCCTGCACTAATAGCCAAAGCGCTTCCAAAATGAATCTCTCTCCTAAAAATAAATGCAAGTAATATCAGATGCCATCCTGGGTAACAAGAATTAATAACTTGTTTCTTCAGAGTCAAGTGCATCCCATGGACAGGAGGGGAAATATCTGTAACCTGCCTCTGATTACAACAGAAGATAATGGGGCTGTTCCTGGGCCTTCCTCATCCGTCACTGTCTCTTCTTGCCATTAGCTATTTACTCCACACTCGTTGAATCATACCCTGGATTTCATTATCAAAACCAATAACTGTGTTTTGTTACAAACCAGAGTATGTTGCGCTCTGCCTGAAAAAAAAAAAAAAAGAAAAACCCAACTGGCATTGTATTTCTCATAATAACTTTTAATTGGATTTTAGCTCTCTGCCTTTTATGCTTCATCTTAGGCTTTATTGGGTTTAATTACAAATCCATAGCTATTTGTTATGTGGCTCTGGTTTGATATTTTGCACTGACAATTACATTTTTATTCAAAGAAAAAAAATGTATTAGGAAAAAATAGCAAGAGGCAGGCTCATTGTATGAGCTGATTAATTGAATTCCAGTTTTATGTGCAGTTCTGGTGAATGATTGCACGCCAAAAAATGACTTGAATATTAGATCAGAGTACACTTACTCACTGTAATTGGTTTGCACAGAGTGCAAGCTGCTGTAATGACAGATCAGCTGTGAAAACACAATGGAGGCACTCGGGGCCCTGATCCGACGTCCCCTAAAACTTCATGATTCGTTAAAACCTCTCCATGCAGGAGAGCGGTGAGATAGCGAAGCTTCAGCACTCTCCTTTAGGGAAAGCAAGGACAAAACGTCTCTACCCCCACTACGGTCCTTCTTTTGAGCACTGCAATTTAGATTTAATGATTCATTACTCTTATTAGCAAATAGGGTGCTATATGTTTTCTCAGAAAAATAGAGAATTCTTAGACAAGTCGCCTGCGCCCAACGGCGAGACACAATTCCGGCCAGCCCCGGGAAGGGAAGGGAAGGGACCTCCTCGGGGAAGCGTTCTGGTCTTTCTCCACATTTCATCACCTCTTGGCCGTACGGCAGCACAGCGCGCGGATGCACACGCCGGGACCTGCCCCCCCAGCTCCAGGGTCTGTCTGCTGCAGACAAGGGGGCACCGAGGCGCCTCGGGCAGCGCTGCCCAGCCCGCGGGCACGGGGAGAGCCCGAGCCTCTCGCTGGGGAAACCTCTGCGTATTTAGTCATAGCCAACAGCCTCACAGCAAACGCCCCTGTGGGACCACGGAGACCTCTCACCACGCTGCAATTCCGTAACAATAACCCGCAGCACTCTCCTCTGCAGCTCTGGTGGGAGGTTCTGCCGCTCAGCACCATCCCACAGCGGAACGCGACGCGACGCGGCACTGAGAGACGCGACCTGACAGACTACTGGCCACGGGGAGTCTTGCTGGAGAAAGCAGGTTTTACTGTTTGCTCTCCTCACCAACCACCATTAAATATCGTTTGCCGAGTACTGAAATTATTTAGTCACCAAAGTTTTATCATGTCACATCAAATTAATTTGAAAGCCGGCGAGGCCAAACGCCAGCACACGAGCACACCAGACTGATGCTCTGAACCAAGATCCAGGGTGGAAAAAGAAATGCAGAGTCCTACTTTTAGAAGCTGGAGCAATGAAAGAGAAGTTGGTAACATTACCACAAACTGATTAAATAAAAAAAAAGAAAAAAAAGGAAAAAACCCTTCTTAGCTCTGAAAACCCGCTGGAATAAGAGAAAAGGACCCACCCCACACCCCCCCATGTACTGACCCTTCCTTCCACACAAGTTCGTTATATCAACCCTCCGTTTCAAGTCAGCGCCCCTCGTTACTCCTCTGGCCTGTGCTCACTGACCACAGCTATCCCTGGAGCCTTCTTGTTTGCAAAAGGCAGTGCACAAATAATGACATTCGAGGGGGCAGAATCGCACTTTGCTACTCTCAACTTTGCAAAGCAAAGGACAATGAACATAAATCCATTCTTTTTTTTTTTTTTTTTTCCCCTGGGAAGCTGAGTGCCAAAACCTGGATAGGGACATTCCACAGCCTGGAAGTTCGAAATCCCTTGCAAGTTTTGATTGTGTGGGGTTCTTTTAAAGCTTACCAAACAAATCTGGAAGGAGAATTTGGTGTCACAAGCACTGACCTAGATCATAGCAAATTTACTATGTAAAAAAATCAACTGTACACTCTTATTAAGTAAAGCCATTGTGACTGTTTGATTGCGCTGACACCGGGCTTGTACCACATCGGTGCAACAGCTTTATCGAAATCCCTCCTGATCCTCGCTGACAGGAGAGGGGGGAGCTGGGCGCCTGCTATTAAGCAGTCAGCAACGTTATGAGTTGACAACAAATGTCCAGACGTTTTTGCAATAATGCTGCTTTTTAAACCAACCCCTCAGCTGCACTCCAGCAAACTTAGACAATACCGTACTTTGTCAAATGTCACTAGAGAGTCATGCATAGTTTCTTTATTTTTATAGCATCTTCCCAAGTAATTTGTTTATATAAAACAACAGTTTCCCATTTGCGTGCAACCTAAGAAGTCCGTGACTGCAAGCGCGAGCGCTGCCGGGCCCTTTCACACGCGTCCCACCAAGCCCTTTCAGCCAAGGTTTCCATTTTCTGCAGAAAACAGAACTTGCACAGTCGAGTGTGCAGCAAGGAGGCGAATAACGTCTTGGGTGTCAATACAAGAGAGGCCTCCACTGGCTGGGGCAGCGGCTCTTGGCAAGGTCTGAATGAAATAAATAACTTCCCTTTCATCCACCCAGGCTGAAAGCCTGACGTGCTGAGCTGCCGGAGCGCTGGGAGAGAGCCTGGCACAAATGAGACGTGTCAGACTGCTAAAGAGATGAGAAGAAAAATGGCTCCTCAGAAGTGGTCTTCATGCGGTCGCATCTAGAGAAATCAGGATCAGCCAGGAAAAAAGTGAAATTAAGGGAGATGGTCAGCAGCAGACAAAAGGCTCTCTTCCATAACAAGATGAAAGAGATTTAACAAACCAGCAAGCAAACAAACGAGAGAGAAAAGTCAAGCCAAACACTCCAATGCATTTGGCCCAGTGAGAAGGGCGAGAGACCTGTGTAACGCAGACCCAGTTACTGATTTTATTAAATCCATTATCCGAGAGAGATTCACGTCTCGGTACAGGCGAGTGCACAAGGCGCAGCTCTCGGAGGGATTTGGAGGGAGGTTCTCCCCACTCAGGAGCACGAGTTAGAACCATCCCATTTTATAAGAGAAAACGTTCTCATCGTAGCACTAGACAGCACAATACCAAACCCCATTACTAGAATTGAATACTCAGAACGGGCACTGTGAACCTCTGAACTGAAATACGAGCCCACAACAGCCAAGGAAACGGAATACTCTCCTTAAAGGCGTTTGTAACTCACAGTGCAATATTGGACGTCTGCTCCGCCGACTCTCAGTATCTCTCCATTTTGCCCGCAGCAGTCCTGACCCCAGACCTCAGAATCTGAACATCCCAGAGACAAGCAGCCCTCTGCAGCTGTCACCACTGCGGGGATGATAAGCTTGTGGCAACTGGTACTGGGGAAATTGCCCAATTAATTTTTTCAGACCCGAACAGCAGCACTGGAAAAGGAATGACATCTTCGAGATCTGCCAGTTTGCTGTGCCTGAAGAGTCCGTGCAGGCCAAGTAAAAGCAAAGCAACAAGTGCCTAGATATTTACGTGCAGGATGGTTTCAAGGGATTTTCCTGAACGCTTTCAAGTTCTCAGCCTGACAAATTTGAGTAGCTTTTGTGCCTCGGCTCATATATTCCACAGAAATATAATGTACGAGTGTTAAATGTTGCCATCAGCATAAGACTGAGGAAACAAAACAAAACACACCTAGGAGGGAAAACGAAGAAAAATCCGTGTTTCTTCTCCTTTCCTTCGTACCAGTCCTCCCCCTCGTCCACCCACGCCGTCCCAGGGACGCGGGAGCTCGGACTCAGCACAGGGAGGTGACTCCCGACGGGGTCTGGAACCAGGGAGGTGGAACCCCTCGCTCCCTTACCTGCAGGGTGGAAGTTCCCTGCTGGCACCAGCTCACACAACGTGCCTTTGAAGGAAAAGCTGCATCCTGCCTTTTTTTCCTTGCACTTCCCTCGCAAGAGCCTGTGTTTTTCCTTTGAATCTCCCAGCAGCTCTTCGTGGGTGCGAGGGGAAGAGGAGCAAAAAGCCACCAAGCCCTAGACTGGGATCGAAGCATGAGATTTGCTGGCTGGTCCTTACCACTTGCAGAGTCATCCCAGGCAGGCAGCAGGAAGAGCACGTAAATATACTGATATATGTATTTCCATATTAAAAGCCACAAGACCTATCTCAGTGCAGAATAAGCAGCCTTTTCCCCAAGGCTTTTCCTCCAAACTTTATTCCTTGCGTATACAGAAAGATGTTTAAACTATCGGTCATGAGTGTTGGTCACAGGCTGGACCAGCAGACCCTCAGCTGATCCTGGCTTCTTCTGGTTATTCGTTAACTAGCGCTAGAAGATAAGCATTTAGCCTTTTCCCGTGTTACCGGTATGAACTGGGGGCACGTCTGTGCCTTGTGAGCAGACCCACAGCAGCTTCCACCGAGCCAGAGGGAGGAGAAGGGCCAGTGCTCTCCGGGACACGCTCGCAGGCGACGCGATGCTCAGGCGGGCGCCGGTCACTGGTGGGGTGGCTGCTGGTGGCCTGGGTCAGCCCAGAGAGACCTTCTCCCACCACCAGCTCAGAGGTGGGAGCTGGGAGCTACACGGGGGCGATGAACAAGTTTAAGTGACAGCCTTGAGACCAGGAGTGGTCACACCAGTGTTTATACCGGGTCCAGAGCCCAGGGCCGAGCAGCCCAGCAGCCCCAGGCCATGGCACTGACAAATTGGGGGTCAGTAAAACGTCGACATTCCCAGAGCATCGCACTAACCCTTGCTTTAAAACAGCGCCAGAAAACAGATAGGGTTGTTCTACCTGAGAAGAAACTTAAGAAAAATTTAAAATTATTTTTACAGCGAATATTTTACTTGTTTCTTGACACCCATGACATGCAATAGCACACAATATATTATTATTTTATTTCCCCTGTACTGCAGCAGAAGGACAAAAATTACTGTGTTATTTGCTTGCATAGTAAAAAAAAAAAAAATCCACAGGAACAAGAAACTACATATTAATTCTTGCTGTAACAAATCATCTGACACAAACAGCCAAAGTCCTACTGGCTTTTTGCTGATGACTACATGCCAGCCCAACGCAGAGACGGCAATTTCCCAGCTTGAGGTGGCAAGTCAGCGGCGTCTCCTCCGGAGCCTGTCAGACACCCCAGCGAGGGGAGCAGGGGAGAGGGGCAGAGACAGGGGAGCCTGGAGGTGCCAAGAGAAAACAGAGAGTGTGAGGAAGCGCGTGTTTAACAGTGTCTGCTTGCTGTCAGTAACGGCAGCCTTTCACAAACAGCCCATTTCTGTGGAGACAATTCCAACACTCGAGGCAGTGTATACATTATTTAGGGTTTTTTTAAATGTCAATTATCAACCCCGGTTTAACTGCTTCTGACTGGGCATGACAAGATCAGTGCTGATTTGGCAACTACTTTCTCTTCTCAAATGGGGAGGGGGGGGTTGTGTTATGAGGTTCAGAAGCAACCCCCTTGATTCCTGACTGTGCAGCCCTTGCTGCTACAATACCTGCTGCTGCAACAAGTGGCTCTGCAGTGTGAAGGCATCTTCCTCCCGCTGCTCCCACGGCAGGCCCCGCTGCAGGCGGAGCACAGGAGTGCAGGCAGCTTTAGAAGGTCCTCAGTAAGCGTCTGTCTTCAGGTAGAAAACTGCCTCTGACCCACCCCACAGGAACCATCAAACGATCCGTGTGCTCAACATGCTCTGGAACGCACGTCGCGCTCAACAACAGAGGAGTGCTCTCCAAGGAGGGCTCAGGAGCACACGGCGCTTCCTTAAGAAACTGAAACTTAAAATAAGCACCGATAAGTCAGAAATTACATCTCCTCGCATGGATGAATGGGCGAAAATCATCACATTGCAGAAGCGTTGCTGTAGTGCACTTCATGTAGAGGATGGGCGCGAGTCCCAGCAGGGGAGAGCCACTGAGGGAGAAGTGCAGCACGACGTGCAGGGTGGGCTGCCCTTCTCACACAGCCTGCGGTGCCGAGGCTGTGAGACTGCGGCTCGTAAGACCGCACAAGTGTGACAGAACCGAAAACACAGAGGTGAAAGTACAGAAATATTCCCTACGGTTCCCACATTCTCCTCAGGCCGGCTAGCGGCACCAGGTAACCCACCGCACGAGCAGGTATCTGCCATGGACGCTACAAAACCTCCAATTCACACAGCATTTGATGCTCACCCATTGCAAGTCAGATTTTCTCTGGCTCATGAAAGATTTCAGGGAATAAAATTTCTCCAAGACGCCTGTTGCCCGAAGCAGGAGCCCTCGCAGGGCGTTGCAGGAGAACATGGCGTGGGGCAGGTCAGCTTGCGGGGGGTTTCTCCTCTCCCCTGACTTGTCAGTGTAGCCTCTCCACGGTACCTGAGGGCCCATACCACACCTGGAAGAGTCACCTCTGAAAGCAGGCAGGGGAAATGGCTTTGGCCGTCTCCCGTAGCATGTAGGGAAAAGGGTTGTGTCCCTGCTGAGGAGCTGAGACCTGCTGTGCTTCAGGGCCACCCAACAGTGCCGGAGTCCGCGCTGCAGCCGACGTGCCTGGGGTTTCTCTTAACATGTTCAACAAGTGCTGTTTTCCCCCAAATTTCTTTTGTACATCATTGCATTTGGACCCGTAAGCGTGGGTACTGCTTTTTTAAACTCAGAAATTGAAGTAATTCAAAGCTAGTAACAAAATTGATGAAATGAATCTTTTTCTTTTAAACTGTCAGACTTCTCAGCTGGTAATGTCACAGATGGTATTTTGTTTTTAAGGGACATATGTGATGTAATCTATGAAAGCTCTGACAGGCAGCTATGGAGGGGATGTAAGGAAGGGGAAACGAACACTGATCCTCTAACGTGGGGACAAGTTTTCACACCTCCCGGGTGGGTGAAGCGCCTGTGCCTCTTGGAGAGCTGGGACTCGTTTGTGAAATTCATATGAGCAGCAAGTTAGAAAACCTGCCTCTGCTGCAACTGGGAAGTCATCGCCCTGGTTCAGAACACAGATTAATTTAAAGAAAACAGACTGTCCCTACTGAGTGAAAACGGAGGAAAGCCTGGAAGCAGCCCCTGCAGAACTGAAGGGGGAATCTCACAGCGCTACAGAGCGGAATGAAGAGCTCCTGTTCTTAGACAAGCTGCATTGTCTTGTGCTTGTCAGCACAGGTGTGTGCCAGCACCAGGACAAACAAAAGGGTACCAGTATGGAAGTGAGAGGGGAAAAAGAAAAACAAAGGCTCGACTTAGGCAAGGAGAGATGCTGACAAGCAGACAGAAAACAGGACAGTTTGAGGTCACATGCTAATTTATATTCAGGAACAGCTTCCAGTTTCAGCCTCAGGATCAACTGTTATTTTTCCCACCTATTATCTTCTTGAACGTCCTTGTGCCAAGAGGAAGTGACCGTGATTCGTGTCTGTCCTTGGACGAGCTGCTGAGGACCGAGGGGCTGTAGCCCGGCAGAGGCTGCGTCACGGGGACGTTTTTGATACCACCACCCCAAGCACATGGCGGTAGAGCCCTGCACGCCCCCTGAGGTGACTCCCTGTGCCCCCAACAGCATCCCGAAAGCAGCACGACAGCCAAGGCAAAAGCATTTCATTCCTTAGGAGAACTGAGGACACTGAGCAAAGGATATCCCTGGAAGAAACAAGCCTTACGTTTGAAGTAAACATCATAATAAAATGGATGCACTGAACAGTACTTTCAAGAGTTTCAAGCAGGCAGAATACTGAAATGCTTGAAATAGTTTTCTCTTTATCCTACTGGCGTTAGTCAGTAACAGCTCAATCCGACAAGCTTCGCGGGGAAAAAAGAGCGGAGGAGTCTGGACGAGAAAGGTGAGATTTTTAAGGAAGAGTAAAACCTGAGAGCAGCTGTAAGCCACTCAAAACTAGGACAGAAAATGCCATTATTGGGGTCCTCGTTATACCCCACCTCACTTGCCATCTGCCTCCGTACCCAGAGGGGTTTTACTTAGCAGGACATCCCAGCGCCCCGGGCCTGGCGGTGGGACAGAGCGAGGAGCACACAGCGCTCTGCCCGGCAGCCACCAGCACGTGCTGCAGCATCAGAGAGTAGATGCTAAAACTCTGCCACACTGGGAAAAAAAAAAAAATGCATTTTAACCTTTCTCGCATTATGTTTACCCACTGTTTATTCTTAGTCCTGTTACCTTCTTCATTTCTGTATGGAGGTCTAAAACATACGAAGGTATAAACTTACAATTTGAAACAAGCTGAATCGGGTAGAAAATAATTGCTCTTTGTGAACATGCTGGGTATTATTTGGGGACCCTCATACAAGGTGTGTGAAGAAATGTAAATTAGGGAAGTGACTGTACTGATCAGAATAGAAAAAAGAATAACCTACAAATACCCTCAAAATTCAAGGCTAGAGAAAGGCATATAAGCTGGAACGTGGCCCAGAAATAAAGATGGGGTCTACAACACTATCAGTGCTTCCAGATGAGCTGTGCGAGGGAACTGGAATTTGTAAGCCTAACTTATAGCAGAAAGGTAGCCGGAGTGAAAAATGGAAAAGTAAAAGAAAATGAGCTTCAGTATCAAAAGAGCCTCTCAGCCTGAGAGCGCCTGTCCAGCGCTGCGCGGGGAACATCACCGGAACAGAGCTGGTTCCCAGAAGCTTAAGACAACCAGATGAAACTCTGCGAATTGAAGAAAGGCCTCACACTAACACCTGTACGTTCTTTCCATAGGAAGATAGCTGACATTTAATTCGGACCAGAAAGCAGGCTGATGGAGAAAGTGTTTAAGTGGGACTGGCAATGACACCCTAGATGACAATCCAACCCCCACCATGAACATCAGCTCACCCTACAGCTCCAGCAGTGGCAAACTGGCGGCAGAGAGAGGGGGCATCCGCGCTGGCGAAGGGAGAGGACCCGCGTGGCTGGGCCGAGGGGCCACGGCCAGGCAGGTCACCCCCCTCCCAGCCCCTCCCAGCCCCCCGTACCCTGCAGTCACGTTTCAGCTACTCCCATGGCAGCAGTGCTGGAACACGCAGACACTGGCACTCTTCAAAGTAGATTTCTAAGAGAATTGCATGTATTACTACCAGTGCAGGGGAAAAAAAAAAAAAAAAGATGACTCACCAGAGAAATTAATGGGCTCTAGTAATACTGTGATCCTACTGAAAATGGACCCATGTTTTTGCTAACAATTAATGTCCTATCCTGAACCGCTCCGGCTCTCGTTTGTACTTCAAAGACCTCACGGCTGCAGTTCTGCCGCAGCTTTTGCCACCTTACAAATGGGTGTGGGAAAGCAAGACCTAAAGTGGTTTAATAACGTAACGTCCTGGAGTGTCTCACCTTGACCACGGCGTGCGGGTGAGCGCCCCAGGAAGACTGCCGAGACCCCACGTGGTCGAAGCCTCTGAGCTGTGAGGTGAGGCAGGCAGGAGCGGCCGGACGGAACCAAGACCCTTCTCCGGTGGGGTGCTCAGAGAGCACCTTCACCTGCCCCATTTTACAGAACTGCTGAAAACCCAGAAATTAATAATAAAAACAGGACATGTGTAAGGGTAGGGGAAGAGCATCCTTCCAACCTGCAGTATGTGAAGTGTTTGCCAACATACGGGGGCTGATCCTTGGCTCACGTAAATTGCCACAGCTCCACGAATATCTACGGAGTTACGACATACCCTACCAGTTAAATATCATTCTCTGTTGGCAAACATTTCACAAATCCTCATATCTATTGGGGGCTGAAACGAAACTCTTCTTCCACCCCCAGTAAACAGCTTGGTGGAAGCAAAGTTCTCGGAGCCCATGAGCTCAGCTTCTCTCAAGCAGTTCTGCCTCCCCCGGACACACTGCATGAGCTAGAGCATGCTACAAGGCAGACACGAACTGTTGGAGCTGTGCTGATGGCAGAGACAAAGCTTGTTCTGCCTTTGGACACTTTCTCCTTCCATGATTGTCCATCCATATTGTTGATGCAAATTCCTAATTATGTCTTCTGAAATAAACCTCCCTGCCCCTGGCAGTTTCAGAGCTGCGAAGAGGCAGAAGCCCACCCGCGGCCTGTCCGCTCTCACCTGATAACTCAGCAGGAGAAAGGAGGTTGCCATCGCACTACACACGACGCCTCTCGCCCCACAGTACAGACCTCAGGAATAAAACACTAGAATTTGAGAGTTACAGAAACCTGAATTACAGATATTGAAATCGTACTCACCTCGGCAGGTTACCTCCCTGAAAATGCTATCGAATGTTCTCCTCCCCTAGCGTCCTGCTCACGAGGACACGGCTACACGGTGCAGGGAAGGAATAATTGTGTTGCTCTGTAAAGACCCTGGGTGGTCTCTCAATAATGTATGACAGCTCCTTGAGTAGCCAAGCAAACAGAAGGCAAAACCTTTCTGGCAGATATGCACAGAGGTACACCAGGGCTGAGTCGCCGTTGTACTTGTCATACCCAGGGACTGCTCCATTTAGCTTCCGCCGAGATGGGAAACGCATGGCAATGAGAAACCTCTCAAAACAGCGAAGTTGAGCTCTGCGAGACGACTGCCCAAACGGCCCCGGCAGCGTCTCACCAACGGCATCCTTCCCCCAGTCACTCAATCCCACATCCCCTGACTCTGGCGGCACTTTGCTGCCGCTTTTGTTCCTGTTGGACCTTCAGCGGGGACACGCTGACTACTGGACCCCCCAAGTGCAACACAATTATTTGTTCAGTCCCAAAAGGCGATACCTGCACCGGCCCCGCACAGACAGAAGGGCTGCACAAGTGCCATCACAGGGAATCAGCTGAAAACAGGAATTTTACAATTCTTCACCTGTACATCTACGTCCCATGAATATAACTAAGGCCATAGCTCCGTGATGTGAAAGAGAACTGCTTCTCAGCACAGACTGAGTCAGCAGGGCAGGCAGGTAGAAAGGACAAAACCAGATTTTTATCAGCGTGGATACGGACGGCGAGAGCGCGGGATCCCCGAGCATGACTTGCTCTGATGCCCACTTGTAGCAGAATGACACAGAGAACATTCTCCTACCTCAAGCCACTGGCACAAACACCCCGGGTGCAGTCGGCAGGCTGCCTGTTCTCACGCTGACAAGGCTTTGGTGCAAGGTGGGACCGAGCCAGCAGACGAGCTCAGCCCTGGTGATGGCAGAGCAGAGGCCGGTTGCGTGCAGCACGAACACCCGATCCCTTCTCCGGGCACCGTCCCAGGGGTGCCCTGCAGAGGGGGGACTGTGCTGGAGAGGAACACTGATGCCCTTGGGCAGTCAGCACACCTACTGCTCTGCAGGGCTGTTTACTCACCATCACCGCGCAGCGTGTGACTAAGGGAAAAACCGCTCTGCAAAGATTCAAGGCCAGCAGACAAACCCTCTTCTCCCCCCAGAGTTCCAGTTTCTGGGGACTCACGTGTTCTAGGTAACAGAAGCACTAAAACTCTCACCTAAAACCTCTGCGCCCAGTTCTGGTCCCAAGATCTTTGCAGTCAGTTTTACTTCCAAGGCGAGCGGCAGGGCGGGAGCTCTGCCCGCTCGGGGTGGTGGGACCTGGCCGAAAGCACCCAACGCCCCGCGCCAGGGCGGCTCCTGGCGCCTTCCTGCTCCCCAGGTCGGCACTGTGCCCCAGGGGCCACTCAGCTGAGGTTCAACTTACCCGTGCCACGCATTTTGACCACAGGCTGCCTCCGGATTTTTTCTTTGCAACAACGAAGAGAGAGGGATCGAGTCCGAGTACGTCACCGTGTGCTCCAGGGATCCGTCCAGTAGCCACAGATGAGGACCGGGCAGGTCAGAGCTGGCTGCTTCCTCCCAGAGGGTACGGGTCTGTGTGTACATATACATAACTCACAGATTTATATACCTTAAATATATCTTTATATAAATATGCATACATATGCAGATATATAAAAAGGCCCTTATGCAAAGAGAGCATTTGTCGTGCTTCATAAAGGTAACTGGAGGTAACGAGCACACAGCCTGTCACCGGCGATCCTGGAACGAAACAGAACTAGAGAGGCTAAAATTGATTTGCCTTAGAGTTGGCTGGTATCACCAGGATCATTCCGCTCCTTCCATCATTATATTCACATAGCAAAATAATCATATCGTTGTTCAGGAAAAAAGGTTTAAAAAAATACAGAAGTGAAAGTCAACCAAAGAGAGATCTGAGCAAGCGGAGGGGTTTAAACAACTGGGCAGGGGGAACGACACAACAGAGTTGCAAGGAGAACCATCCATTTCATTTAATGGTAACCAGCGGCATGAATTTCCATTTTCCACTCAGAGTGGAAAACCCGCAAGAAAAATGTCAGCACTAGACCCACCAGGGGTGAGCCCAGGGGTTTTCCCCGCAGCAGCATCTGCACTCAGGGCAGAATATGCTCCACGTCCTCAGAACGTGAAAGTCAATAGTCAGACTGAGCTGTTATTTCAGGGAATTTGACTCGTTAGCATTGTTGCTGTTTACAAAGGATTGTTTTGAAGGTATGCAAAAACCCTGATTGAGCTTTCCAGAACACCGAAATGTTTGTTTTGGAGAAAATTAATTGTACTCGGGTAGTTCTGTAAATCTTGACCCTTACAAAATTACAGTAAACTTAATTTCAGAATGAAACAATTTCAAATTACTTGAATGCTTCATCTGAAGTCAAAATTACTTCCTTTTCGGGGAGGTTTTCAGGGATTTTCCTTAATGAGACAAACTTCTAAACTCAAGAAGTTTCAAAGCTCCTGGCTAAACTGAGAACAGGCGCCTCCAAAATACCTGTCTCCTTTCAGGATGGGACTATTCACGCATCGCTGTTTCTCTACACACAGCTATGATTTTCCCGTTACAGAAATACAGAAATCCATTAATGTCCTTGTCGCTACAAGCAGCTTTGCAAAGAGCCAGGGAGAGCAGCTGCTGCGGAAGCGCTGCCTGCACGGGGCTGCTGGCGAGAGGCAGGGATGGCGCGCGCGGATGTCGAGACGGAGGAGCCATGCGAGTGGTTGGAAACGGCCCGTTCCGCGGGTCTGTTTGCGGTTCTCACACGGCTGGCCTTTCCCCCTGCCCACCAGAACGCTGCGTGCAGCACAGAAATTGGCCTTTCCAGCGATTTCAACGCCCAGGCGAGAGGCGGCTCCGCGCGCAGGGTACAGCTGCTCTTGCCTCGGGGCAGCGGCACCTGCCAGGCACCAGCCACCGCGCCCAGGCGGAGCGGACAGCGGCCCCCGGACCCGCGTCCTCAGATAACCCGCAGCCCGTCGGGGCAGAAACAAGGGCAGCTCCGAAGGGGGTGACAGTGTCCACTACAGAAACGGGTTATTAGGAATAAGAAGCTGCCGGGCTCCGGGGGAAGCGCCGGAGGGCAGCTCTTACCTTGTACCACTCAAGCACACAACCGGCTGTAATGAATTGCAGCAGGAGGCAAATTGGAAGAGAGAGCCCACGGATTACAAATGTAAAACTATGATGCTTGCTCTTAATGGGGGCAGAGGGCAACCCTGTGAGAGAGAAATGATACTGATGTGGAGAAGCCGAACAGAAAGAAGCCAAGGAGGTAACTCTGTGTTTGATGATCGGCAAAGGACCAACCGTCTAGAAGAAAAGCGACGACACCGAGACATCCTACCTGCTGCCAACGGCCATCAACACCGCAGAGTGCCTCACGGTAGCTCCTCAGCATTCAAGTGATATTTATTCCTTCTGCAGGACTTAACCAAATAACAACAATACCTGTGAGGAATCTCTCTACACGCTGCCCATGACAGGGCCCTCCCGTGGTTCCACCCATGATTTATCTGGGAGCTGGGAGTGCAATCATTAGACCTCCACAGGAAGCAGAAGACTTTCTGAGGGCTAATGATCATTGCGAAACCTTCCCAATAGGTGCACAAAAGGTAATTTATCATCATTTGCTTCTGTAATGTTGATGCATTGAGCAATACTCCTATCGTTCAGTGGTCCCTCAGACCCTCCTGGCTAGCAGGGAGGCAGACGAAGCTGTGAGATGCAGGAGATGGACTACCCGTGCAAGGTCACTTTTGCACACTCGTGCGTGTCTGATCGCCTCATCCGAGGAGCCTGGGAGAAACGTGCCCGGGTCAGCGGGCCGACAGCAGAGTCCTCAGTGTCCGACGGACCCGCGGTCTGCCCCAGCCTGCGAGGAGAGCGGGCAGGTGCTGCAGGAAAAGCTGTTGCTCCAGTATCTGTTCAATTTAACCCAAAGCTCATCAAAATGTTTATTTACATCACGTTTCCAGCCAGCGCTGGCAGTCAGGAAACCCAGACAAACATCACCAAATTCACACAGCACCCCCAAACATGACAAACAGTTCTAAAAACCACAGAGGAGCCGAGAATAACGCAGCACCAGGCAGGTCGTCTGAAAAACATTTTCCTTGATGAACAGTTTCTCAGATGTGGGGGTTTTCTTCCCAGTATGGCAGAACAGTGTCTGCTCTCTAAAATCAGTATTGTTATTTGCTTGACTGAAAAACAAAAACACCCACTTCTAAAGCAAGAAGCTCTAGGTTTTGCATACATGATCTGGGACTAACTCTGTGTGGAAGGAAATAAAGTACCTAATTCTCAGATATTTTTGAAAAACCGACTACAGTTCCTTTGCACAGCTGTTAAGAGGCACTTTGGAAGTCAGACCCAGTGTTTGTTTTTTAAACAAGCCAGCGCAAATTTAATGATAGACTCTATCTACCCTTCCTTACATCCTTGATCTTAAGATACAAGTGCTAACAGGTATTGCAACTGTCAATTTGGTTCCCAAAATACATCCTTATCTTTTTCTTTATACAGTAAAGCATTTATCACTTCCTCTTTCATAAGAGTATCAGCATTTGTGCGCTAACACCTTTCTGGTACTTTGTCATGTACTCAGCCAGTGAGATTATCCGGGAGTATTTTGGAGGCAGCAAACAAGCACAGAATGAAGCATATGGTGCTCTGTTTAGAGAGGCAAAGCCAGTCTCATCACTGCCGAGATCCCAGAAAATACATCTCAGATGCAAATTGGTTTCATGAAACCACGGGAAAAAATAAGTCATATTTATAAGGAAATTAGGTGAAAAAAATATTAACTGTGAGCAAACAAGACACCACTGGCAGGCTTAGTAGTCAGTTTTTCAGTAGTCAGCAGGGATTTTTCCCCTATCAGATCTCCTATCATTTTTTTTTCTTTCACCCTAAATTCTAACAATCAAGGCAGCACACTGGGGAATCAATTCTGAAATTAGAAATCCCATAAAATGAAAATTAAGTATATTTCAGAGCAGTTATTTGGACAGCTGCCATTTGTTTCCATCTGCCTCTTGTACTATCACTGGCTCAAGCCTTCTTGCAGAAGTCCAGAGCTGTCACTAATCTAATAGCTCATCCGTGCGCCCTCTTGTTCTCAGTGACCCTCATGGGGCCCTTCCCACTCGAGATATTCTACGATTCCCTCTGGGCATGACTAAACCACATCTCCCCTTTAACTCGGAAATAAAGTTGTGAGGAGCAAATAATGCTTTGATTGATGCCAAAAAAAAAAAAAAAAAAAAAAAAAAAAAAAAAAAAAAA